CTGATTTGATAAAACAAAAGATGGTGGAAATGATACCAAATGATGATCTGCTATCAGTAGGTTAAGAAAGTGATCAGTAAGAGAATAGACATATCTTCCCGCTAATGATAATAATGCGATGGAAATGTGTAAACATCAGCTCCAGCAAAAACATATTGTCAGGAGACCAGTAATTTCACAGCGACTTTTACAGATGACACAAATCCATTATCATCTATCGCGTCGTGTACTCGTGTGGACCATTAATTTGCGGATATCCTGGATTGCTTTAATTTTAAGAAGGTCTGAGGGCGGGGGGAGGAGATCAGTTGGATGTGGTCAAGGACTGAGAATGAGAGTTCCCTCTCATTAAGAATAAAAAGCATTTGGCAAGAGAATTGAGGTATCGAGTGAAATGTTGCACGGTAAGAGGTGCTCTCCGTGGCGATTAATGGGAGAAAAATAATGCAGTAATTGAAGAAGCATCAAAGAATAATAAGAATTGCGAGACTGAGAAAACGGTCAAATAAATACGGATTACAGTTAGGTAAGCAGGAGAGCATTTAAGTAAAATTAGAAATGTTTCTTTTGTCGTTCCTAAAATTCAAATTGGATTTGAAAAAGGATGGATAATATTCAAACTGTGACAAATTATAAAAGGTAATTTGAGCGGTTTTTTGTTCAATTTTCATGCTTTTCTCGATACATTCGCTTGAATAAACTAACCGTCAGTAGCCTTATCTAAACAGCGAATGAATAATGGAATTTGTTTTAATCGTTGAATTAAGAGATTGAATAGTATTTAATTTTGGATTTAAGTTTTCTTCATTGAAAATTTTCTTTTTTCAACTGCTAACTCTACTGTTACTTGGATAATCTATCATGGTATTACAATAACGAACTTTTGATATCTTTTCCATGCACAACTGCTGTTATGGCATTTGAAGAGAGATGTGCATATCTTATTTCAAGTTACTTTTAGAAAATCAGCCCATTAAATTAGTTCTACATAAACTAACCTGGTATACCCGTCGTAGTACTAGTCATGCCCTAGAATCGCATCACATTTGAATCCTTTTTTTCCTCTAAAGTTCGAGATATTCGAATTAAGTTTTATTCTAAAATTCTGAAATTCAAAAAAATTCATAAATTCGTGGACATGGAGGTTGATGTTGCGAGTTGGGAAGATGCCGAACGGGATAGATAGGTGAAACTGCAGTGTATGTATGTATGTGTGTGTGTATATGTGTGTATGTGTATGTGTGTATGTGTGTGTATGTGTCTGTATGTGTGTGCGTGTGTGTTTGCACGTGTGTATGTACATGTATATATGTGTATGTATTGTATATATATATGTGTGTGTGTGTGGATATATATGTATATATATAAATATATATATTTGTATGCGGGTTTGTTGTGTAACGAACTGTAATCAAGTGACGTAATGCCGTTGTACCACGTGCAGTGAGAAAATTGAAGGAGAGAGAAAGCGTTTTCATGTTGTAAGCTCTTCCCTCCTCGCTATTGCACTCTTTTTTTTTCGGGAGATTGTTGTTGTTCTTGATATAAGTTCGTTCTTTAATTGCTGGTCCACATTGATGTACCGACGCACAGGTGTGACAAAGTACTACACATATATGTGACATATAATACCACTTTGTTTCGATTTTTATTTAACATTTCCGGCGATTTACTCTCGTCTTTGTATATTTTAAAACTAAGATCTCAACTGTGACTTGCTAGTATGGATTCTGATGGTAATTCAGTCGTGGTCGAATCAGGTAAAGTCAATTGGTAAAGTAATGATTGAGTAGATCTCATAGAACTTTTCCCTCCCGAACACTTTTATGGTAGCCATTTGGGTAGCAGCTGATTACGCGTGACGTCTTTCCAATGCGAAATGTAATCTGTCCTTTTGTCCTACTTATTTCAAAAAATATTTTTTAAGTTGACGAACTGGTTAGAAGGAGATAGCAGTCATTTATTACTTTGTATTACTAATGCGAAAATTTTCAGTTTTAATGTTTTTGCAATGTTTCGTGTAGGTGCTGTGCACCTAATTCATCTTTTTTTTTCTATTGTATTTGAACCGTTCCTGATTCATTTTTTTTCATGATATTTTTCCCTGTCGTGTAACGTCAGTAAAGGTGAATAAATGTTAATTTTAGTAACTGATGACAGTGAACAAAAATGCATTGGTGAGAAAAAAGTAATGTTAGTGGCGCAATCTTCATTACTAGCAATATGTTTTCCTGAGGGATTTAAGTTAAAAATGCGAGATCAATCTTGTCCCATGCATTTCAAATCCTGTAAAGTATATGCAATTCCTGATTTTGCTTGTACTGAAGGAGCAAAAACCAAATATAACTGCTAATTAATACTATATTAACTTTGATCACAGTGATAACTCTGATTATTTTGATTCCAACTAATGACTGCAGTGATCACAAGTTAGTGCTTCATCTTTCCTGGTCTTCGTTGATTCCAAACTTTGGAGCTCTAAACGAAATGGTTACAGCCCATTCCCACAGTATTTTGTTGCTGATGTCTAGATATTGTTGCTTATTTTCCATCAGACTAAAAGTTGATTACAATGAGCCCAAGTGACGATGTTGTATCATATGTTGTGGTAAATGTTAAACTCTGACAACCTCGAAAATTCGCAAATTTTGGCGACAAAAACTTGACTATTATCTGGTCATATGGCACATAAAATTCTTCAAAGAGCTACCATAATACATGAGAATCACTGTTAGTTAACAGCCATGTGTCGACCCAATTTAATAACTTCGTTCCCCTCTGTTTTTATATCGGTTGACCACTTCAAAGTCCATTTTTGACAAGTCACTTGTTCACTTCCATTGTGGCACAACTAGCACTTTATCTTTAATGCTATCATTGTTATTTTAATTAAGTGAATTTCAGAACTGCAACACACATACATATACATAGTGAAATATTTAATTTACTAATGAAACTTAGATTTTTAAAAATTCAATCGCATCAACTCATTTCAATGCGTGTCTGCAATCTTTGAAGACAAGCATTTGATTAATCTATTCATTAGGCAAGTGAAATCATGAGCGTGTTAAAATATCAACTGAGATCTTATACACCAATATTCATTTTTCATCAAATAATACTTGGACATTGCTAATGGTTATCAAATTTAAATAATCAAAAATAAAGAAAAAAGGATCTAATAAAAAGAAGTATCGTATCTCTCTAGTTGATGTAAAAGTGCTTTAGTCATATCATTCAGTTATGATTTCAAAATCAATTTCAATAACTTTGTTAGAAATATCTAGCGTCTACGTATTTAATTTATACACATACATAAGTACACTTTTCAAAAAATAATGTGTACAACCACTGGGCAACTAATAGCATGAGGTATAATTTGCTATGTGCAAACGAAGGAACAGAACTACCGAAAAAACTTCCGGAACTGACTAATTTTCACTCATTGGAAAGTATTTCAATTCAACAACTTGTATTTCGGGAACTTTGTCCAATGCTGTATTTTTGATTTGATATTCAGGCTTATAATTAGACTGAAGCTTACATCATGGGGAATACTAATTCACTGGTGTAGGAAGAATCTCTTAATGAGGATAGATAGATTATTTCATGAATCCAGTAG